ATGCATTTCTGGACCCCAGGCGAATTGGAGACGCGGCCTCGAGGCAAAATGCATGCTGGCGGCTACGAGTCCGGCGAGCAAACCCAGGCGACAACCCTGCATTAACAGGACGTCTAAGATGTTTCGGCCCCGGGATTGGGCGTTTCCCCCCATCCTCCTTCCCTATCCAGTAACGCCTCGATGCTCGATATACAGATGACATGATTTGGGGGTGGCACTATGGCGGTCCTGAGATGCAGGCTTCTTGTGCCATCGACAAACGTACTATCACGCCGAGCGTTGTGGCGCCATGGGTGCTGCTTCTTCCTCCCTCCCCATACTGCAGGGGACATGGGACGCGATATAAAATGGGATTGGCGAGTGGCATAATTGCGGGTTAACTGACGCTCCTGTCATTGCCAACGAACCAAACTTTATTCTTCCTCTCGCGGCAGTCTATTGTAAATACATACACCACCGTGGTTGGCAATGTCCAGCAGCCCATCGTGCCACCAACACCGCCAAGTGATCATCACAATCACGAATCGTAGCATCATCTGCTCTCCACGGTGCCGCTAAAATGTGCCTTTGATCCACGCCAACCAAGAAAATGAACACCAACCTTTTCCAAACGTGGCCGTGTGTCTGTACCAAGAAACGCAGGCCTCTCTGCAGCGCTAGATGTACGCTCGAAATAAATCGTCCTGCAAAACCCCTTTCATCTGCTGAATTGCCTCCCCAATAGAATGTATGCGCCCGTGTCATCTCCGAGACGTCCGTCATCTCCGCGGCCCTGTCTTTGGCCAAAAAAAAAAAAGAAGACTTGATCAAGTGTCTTGCACACGGGAGATAATGGGGCGGGTTACCCGTCACTCGATCTGCCAGTTTCCATCGTCAGAATCGGAATCTCCACCCTCGACTTGGTCTTCGACGTCCATGAGGGCCATTTGGACAAAGCGGCGGACCCAAGCTTCTTGAGCTGGGTCGAGCGCGCCTGCATTTGCGTTGGGTGCACCGGCCTCCTGAGGGTTTTGATGCCTTGCGTTACCGCGACCTGCTCGGTGACGATGGCCTCGGGCTGCTCGTGGTGCTGGCTGACCGCGACGATGGGGCCCGCCTGCGGGAACGACGTATTGGTGTGCTCCCCCTCGACCTTGGGGGCGGTTTGCCTGGCCGCGCCCTCCTCTGGCTGCTCGGGCGGGAGGGGGAGGCGGTTGAGGAGCTGGTTCTCGACGAGGCTGGTTGTCCATGAGGCGAAGGACCAGGGGCGCCTCTCTGGCAACCGCAACCGGGGGATTCAACTCTAGGGTTTCTTCGTTGTCGGATTCGCTGTCATCCTCAGACTCGGGCTCTTCAATCTCGGGAATGATTTCCGCGAGATCCTCGCCACCAACAGGTACCCGTCCCAGCTCCCGTCCACCGATATAGCCCAGCCCGACGTCACCTCCATCGCCGGCTTCCAACTCCCAAAGACGCATGTAGCAAGAAGTCACTTTACCATCAGGCTGCGTATTATAGTGCTTATACGGGTTGGCGGGATCCAGCCATGCCGAACACAAGTAGCAGAAATGAGTATCGCACCGCGAGCAAATCATGTGATTGCATCCATGGGTCTTTTGCGCTGGCGCATTGCACGTAGGACAAGGACTCGTATGTAGTTGTAGATATTCCAGAGATGCCTTCTCCTCCTCAGTCAGCTCGTCCTTGTTGCGTTTCGGTGTGCATCGCACAAACTCTCCATGCCACGTCTGCAGGCACCTGCTGCAGAAAGCGAAACCGCAATCTTCACAGACGGACAGCAAATCTGCAGGATCGAATTTCTTGGCTTTGCTCTTGTTCTTCGTGCTTGCCTTTTCGTCAACCTCATGGGCGGCGTCGTCCTCAGTGATTGTGTCTGGAGATTCGTCACCCGAGGATTCAGCAAATTCGAGGCCTTCTGGTTTTTTGTGCCGTTTCGAACGAGCGGCCCCGTTGCACCATTGGCGAGGGCAGTAGATTGTGTCCTTGTCTGCTTCGAGCTCCGTCTTGTACTTGAGGGTTACGTAGCGCTTGACCATGTCTTCAGGGAGGCCGATCTGGAGGAGTTCGCTGGGGCTGATGGCGGTTTTGGATTTTCCCTTTGCCATGGTGCTGGAGGAGGAGGGGGAGGAGGAGGATATTGCACGATCCTTAGCACAATTTGGTGTCAGACAGCGGACTGTGGAGAGATTTCCTTCCTTGATGGCGTCGGTGTAGAAGTCTTGCAGGCATTGGAGGCAGAAGATATGGCCGCAGTCCATCATTTTGTGGCATTTGGAGCCCTTTTTGGGGTCTACGTTTTGTTAGTATTACTTTCTCCTTGTGTAAATTTTCAGACTCAAGAGCTCTGGGAGACGCATACTCACCCAAACATATCCCACATTCAAACGTCTCTTTCTCAAAAGCCGCTTTCTTGGCATTGATGTCATAGTCCAACACGGCAAGCTTATGATCGGGATCGACCTCCAGCGTAAATCCAGTATTAATCGCTCCAAAAACATTCTCTGCCTCCCTATGCAAATGGTCAATGTATGTATACGCGATCATATCCCTCCCTGCCTCCTCCCACAACCGTGGTCCATCGTCCTCTAAGACACGCAGCGTCGCGTCCGGAAGCCACTGCGGTGTGGTGGAAATCGTCACAGCAGGTGGCTTGTCCGAGGGATACCCATCTGGGAGGGTAATCTTCAGCGACAGAGGAGGCAAATGAGAGACAAGAAGTGAGTCGACTGGTTCTACAGCTAGGGCTGCAGGAGTCGACGCAGATGCGGGGGCTGGGCGCTCGGCTTGTGCTACGCCAGACGACGCCGCTGGGAAGAGAACAGTGACTGGCTTTGCTGGCTGTACCGGGAGTTCCAGCTCAAACGTGAATCGCGGTTCGCCCTCTTGCGACGGTCCTGGCGAGGAGAGTACATGGCGTATCTCAGGGTATATCGCCTCCAAGGTCTCGAGCTCCATCAGCCGAGGATCGTCGTCGTCCCCCGCATTATCCATGGTGTCGTGTTTGCAAGCGTGCGTGAGGAGGCCACATAATCTGCGTTGTCATGAGAAGGCGTAAAAAGATATCCCCCGGCTGGGGTCGGGAAGTGGCTATAAGAACGTTGTGCGATGTGAGAAGTGCATCTGTGTATGAAAGTTCTGTGGTTGTGGCAAAACGGTGGCCAAGGACCCGAGTACGTGCTGATTAGGTTGAGGCTCGAAGGACTGGATAATGATATTAACTTTTTTCCGCTTGCCGATTTCCCTCGAATATTTGCCAAGCTTGGCTTCGAGAATGAGTAGGGCCAGATATTTATTGACGGAGTGATGAGAAGACATCAAGTTTGAAAGCGCCTCAACCGCAGACTCTGTGCGGTATGACTCCTCGAGGTTCCACCACCCTCTTCCCGCCTCTAGTCGATCGCGGCGCTGAGAAATGTAAACGCTAGTTCATACGCCGGTGACATGTTCCGCTTCAGCTTGTCACGGCCGGGGAAAAAAAAATAGCAATTTATCCAAAGCAAACACAAGCAAAAAGGGATGCCAAAATAGCTACATTAAAAAAAAGCTTCATAAAATCGCAATTGCGACCCTTAACCCCACAGACTGATCATAGCAGGCGGTGGCGAATTCTGCCGCCAGGCACATGGAGACGCCCGTACCGTCCACATGTCTCACCCACTATTGACATCACGAGTGGTTTTATTCCTCATCACTCAAAGGGGGGAACTGGTTCTCGCACCCAATTCCCCAACCTGGATAGACATGCATTCATGATTCCTATTCCCACGACAACACAACCATGCTTGACGACACCGCGCCGCTGGCGTCGCTATCCGTGACGCACGTGTATTATGTATGTTGTTCCCCTGCATCGCCTTATTCGAACAGCGTTGCAGCCGTTTACCGCAACGACATGTATCCAATGGTTCCTCAGAAACTCCCCGTCCCGTAGCTGACGCTCTTCAGGACCCGGAAGACCCAGTGTCCCTGCTATGCGCGTACCTAGCCCTCCTCCCGCAAGCCCTCTGCATCGTGTACACGACCCTCATCTTGTCCACGCGCGAGGTCGAAATCGCACTCATGTTCGCCGGCCAGCTAGGCTGCGAAGCGCTCAACTTTCTCGTCAAGCGGCTCATCAAGGAAGAACGCCCGCGCAAGATCCACGGCAAGGGGTACGGCATGCCCAGCTCGCACGCGCAGTTCGTGGCATTCTGGAGCGTCTCGCTCGCTCTGTTCCTCCTGGTGCGGCACAGACCGCACCCGCAACCGCAACCGCATGGCACCTCAAACTCGGACTCTGCGAGCCCCTCGCAGAACAGAGCGTGGTCAATGCTGGAAAGAGTCGGCTTGTCTCTTCTCGCGGCCGCCGTGGCCGCCGCCACCGCATGGAGCAGGATATACTTGAACTACCATACGCCCAGACAGGTCATCGTCGGGAGCGTGGCCGGCGTCCTCATTGCCCTGGGGTGGTTCGCTGTCACTGCGCTGGCACGACAGACGGGGTTGTTGGCGTGGGGGCTGGAGTTGCCGATTGCCAAGCTGCTGCGGGTTCGGGATTTGATTGTGAGCGAGGACGTGTGTCAGGCCGGGTGGGAGAAGTGGGAGCGGAGGAACAAGGTCAAGATGGGCTGAGCATTTTACGAAGCCTGGCGCATTGGAGGGATAGATCTGATACCCCGGATAAGACGGTAAGATTACTAGTTTCCACATGAATTCTTCACGAGACTTGACTTTGTCATTCGAACATTGATTGTCGGCAAAGCCATGCCGGCACAGAACATTGCTTTTTGTACATATGTTCCCTGTGACGAAATACACGGTCCCATGCCACATCTATCAATCATAACCGCGGCAATACTGAAACGACAGAATAGGTCGTGTCCCTCATTTCCATAGCCCTCCCATTTGAAACCATCAAAAAAACTCCTAAATAAAAATTATGGTGGGCAACCTATAGTTGCCACCTACAGTAGAAGAGAAAGATATTTATAAAAGTAATTTTTTTTGTTTACAATTTTCTTTTAAATCCACTCAGCTTCATTGACAGGCGAGAAGCTCTCTGGACTGTGTGGAGGGCCAACAGATTGTGCAGTTGGACTGCTTGGCTTCGCTTTGGTTTTGCTAGGGGTCCGTTGGGGAGTGTACACAGTCGGACTGAGACGAACTTCCTCCTCGTCGACTTCTTTGACGGGTTCCTTGTTCACCAGGGCCAGAGGCACTGGGGGTAGTTGTTTATCGCCGCCTTCCGAGGCTTCATCCTCGGGGACGACGAGAGTGTCTGGGATTTGCGGAACAGGCACACTTGAAACAGGTCGGGTCGGGGTCGTGGCTCGAGGTGAAGGCGGCACTTCGTAGTAAGACTGGACAGAGGGCATGTCATGAATGTTCGAGACCCGGATGCCAATTGGGACGGTGGCGGACGAGCCCAGGGATGATTCTCGGTTGTGTCTGCCGCCTGAGAGTCGGATGGTGGGAGGAGGTAGTAACTCGTCATCATCAAAAGGGTTGACTGCCTGATCGTTGTCTTTGCTGGAAGATACATAGGCTGTGGCCGGGAGGGTATACATGGGCTTGTCGGATATGGTGTCTCGCGGGAAGAGGTTATAGGCAGAGTTCTTTCGAGCATGTGCTTCTTGTGACGGGACTGGGCCGGGAGTGGTAGTTGCTACACCAACCGCGGGAGCTTCAGGCATGCCGTCCGGCTTTTGGGACTCATCTGAAGTGAGGGCATGTACGGGGCCAAGCCCAAGCTCCACGTCCTGGGTAGCGTACAGGCTGCTCGCTTGGCGCCGAGCAGGAGGCAATTGCGTAGACAGCGGTACAGGCTGCTCCATCTGTCTCGTAAAGATGAAGCTGTGCGGTACGCTCGACTTGGGGTGCCTGATAGAGCGCTGCCGGTCAAATTCGAAGTAGCCCTTGGGGCCAAGCTTGCCGATCTTGGTTGACCGGAGCAGTATATACATTCCGCCCGTCATGAGACCCGTCAAGTTGGACACCACGACAGTAGCCATGGATAATTCTGACTGCGAGGTTTTAATGGTGGAAGAATCGTCTACAGCCACTGCATAAAAGAACGGCAACATGATAGACTGCAGCGAGAGTTAGAAAAGCAAAGACATCATCCAGAAAGAGCGCTGTACCCGCGGAGACTTACCAGTGTCAGTACACCCAGAGCCATGAACCACGCCATCCATGTTGCTGTTATTCTCTGCTGCTCACCGATGCCTAGAACACGGTACAGACGAATAAATGTAACAACACACCCTATGAGCAACGTTGCTGCAATTCCAATAAGGAGACCAAAGCAACCGATAGCCCATCTCCGAAGGAAGAACACGACCGAAGGAAAACAGATATCGGGGGGAAGTTCGAGTCGAGTCAAAACGAACGTTAAAATCAAGCCGAAAACGATGACAGCCAGACACGTGGGGACGCTCCATTTTGATCGCGGAGAGAAGGGTTGGTATGGACGAAGGGCTTGAACTATTGCTTCAAGCCCGAATGTGAACTGAATATACGGTACAATAAAGAAGGCTGCGTCCGCATAGTGAGGTCAGTTACATGAATAGCCACCCGTGCGAACGACAAGAAAATCCCATCTTACCTGGAAGCATTACTTGTGAAAGAGGCTCGCAGCCCCGAATGAAAAGCCCACGCAGGCCAAACGACTGGATAGAAGCAAATATAATCCCCTGCACCACAATACCCAACGATAGCACAAAGGGAAAGACCTCAGCAGGGCCAAGTACTTTCCAGAAGGAAGACCTATCTCGAGCGTTAATATCAAGACGCTTGTGTTTCGGTTTTCTTTGTTCGGCTGGGCACATGGGTGCACTTACTTCAGCCTAAAGCTGAAATCTTTTCTCTTCGCAGTCATGTAACAATCCCAATAAATACCAAGCGCTGTCGTGGTACCCGCCACAGCGTTGAAACTAGCCAGAATTAAAAATGACGTCCGTATTGACTTGGACGCCGCAAATTTCAACTCATTAATAAACGCAGCCGAATTGTTCCCTTGGGTGCCCAATAGCTCCCCTGCCCTGGGCCATAATTCGAAATTAGGTGGCTCTGCCCACCTTGAACCAAAGCCATCCATAAAAGACGATGTTGAACTGCTGGCTTTGTTAAACGTAGCAGATGATGACGTTCAGTGAGTCAATGACGCAGGTGGAGAGTTGTCTCGGTTGACTGAACAGAGGAGGCCCGATGCCTTCGCTCAGATAGCCAGCTCCTGTTCGCCGCCCGTGGAGATCATCTATACTGCCGGCTGCCTCGAGGGTGATGAGGTTCTCTCGAGTCGTTTTGTCGTCGTGTATATGGGAAGTGAAGAGGCGAGCCGCGGAAACAAGACCTGTTTACTCGCGGAGAGAAGGAAAAGAAAGGAGAGGCGAGGGTTCGTCGAAGAAGGCGCAGCCGTCCGGGGAAAAGGAAAGCCCAGATTAGGGGGAAGAAACAAGAAGTGAGTCGTTCTTAATCGTAAACGGCTGTCCGGACAGCCGAAAGAATAGCTAGGTTGGTTTTAAGTGAATGACTAGCAACTCCAAGTAGAAAGGAAGGATGGGGTCAACCCAGTCGATGCAACAAGACACGAATCACCATTCAAACCAAACGACAATAGAAAGATGAATACAAGACTACGTTTTTGTGTCAAGAGGATGCCAAACGCTATAGATGAGCGCGGGGCAGAGTCAGGTACGGAGGGAGGATGATGACAAAAACCCGTCCTGGTGGTGTGTGGCTTGGCAGCAAGTGATATCGAGCAGGACCAGGGAACACCTCCGGCATGGCCGCCACCCGAATCTGTGCTAAGCAAGCTGAACGCCAAAGCCTGTCAGATGGTTGAACACAGACATCAAGGCTTCTTAGCATAGATTGAGAAAGTGCTAGGATCCTCCAACAAGGGGTCATCTTGTTGCATTACCGGGCAAGGGAGCGGTTAAGGCCACCAGGCCACAGTCGAGGCAAACAACGAATGGCGTCGACTCCAGCGATTCAGACGGGTGGGCTGGATGTTGAGCCTCTGTGTGTTACTACTACTCCATCTAGTCTCGCCGCGGCCGAGCGTTTAGCCCTACGGCGATGTCGTGCATGTCGCACATGGCGTACATGTCTCACGGAGCCTCCAGATCCTCTTAAGCTACCGATAAACTTTAGCTGGGATAAAGTTGTCTCTGTAACCCAGATCGTTATCAGCGCCCGACGATCGATTTGGCTGGCTACTTCTGTGTACACTGTAGGTGTCAATGTTTGGGCTCAGGGAGACTCTCCATTCAACCCACCTGTGATTAGTTTTTTTTTTTTTTTTTTTTTTTTTTTTGGCCCCAGACGCACAAGGTCAAACCTCGAGACCGTTGGCTATATTAATCCCACAGTGTGTGGCGTTTGGGGATTGGAGTGTTGAAGCAGTCTTGCAACATCTTGGAGTTTCGAATGTCAGTGGTGAAGTTGAACAGGCACTCGCACTACACCTAATCGGGAAAGGCTTGGCGTCCTCCCCTCGTTCAACGCTTGCAACCGCAACTTTCTTTGAAACAAGAACCGACCCTTTTCGACTGCCAGAGTCACCCATACCTCCTGTTTGGAGACTAGAAACACCAGAACTTGGGAGGTTGTCGTCAAGTCTTGATCGCGGATTGGTTCCCGGCGGACCAGATCCTCTGCTGCTACAACCTAACCCTCCCGACTCCGTACTGACTTGTGGCAAACTTGTATCAGGGTTAACATAACAGTCGTCGCGATACCAGAGCCATCCAGGGTCTCATTTGGTCCGCGCTACATTACGAGCCAATACCAGTTCTGCCACAGGTGATGATGTGCGGATTTCCTAGGATCTGGCATGCGACTCTTGTTTCTTGCGCTTTGTCGAGAGCAATGCACAGACATCTATTGTGCAACACCAGTGACGCAGCTCTACATGCTGTAACGGCAACACCTCGGCGATTGGTTATGTGGGTGACTTGAATCGAGAGCTCTCACCTTTCCGGGATTCTCATCGTGGTTTGCGACCAGACTCTGGCAAGGCGCGCCCGCAACCTCGACTATATCAGGTAGCGTTCTATACTGTTGCAATTTTGCTTTTGTCGCAATTTGAGGCCATGCAAGCGTTGAGGCCGCGCGACTGGTTATCAAGGGACCTGCCTCATCAGTCCGGATCCGACCTAGCCGGACGGTTGAACTACTCAGCCACTCTTCTCCCGCGACACACAGTCGGATGAACTCTGTTCTCGCGGATTTCGATCCGGGAGATAAACGCCACCGTCTTCTTTACGCCTGACGCATTGAGTCTACTGTCTAGTCGAGCCTGGCTCGCTCCTATTCGTCAACGCCAAGAGCTGTGAAGCATCACTGAAACGCGGAGAGGACACCGATTAGGCTAGAGCAGGGTGAGCATGTACGAAAGCACAAATAGAAACGGTCTTCAGAGACACTACCCTTCTCTTGGTTCATTGCGTGTACTTTTTCAAAGTCAGACCTTGTGTGCGGGAGTGACAGGAGTCATCTTTTTCGTGCTCTCTGCGCCAAGATAGCAACAGGCCGTGGAGGAGTATAGGATATAAAGCTGGAGAGAAGTATATGGTATTTTGCCATTTGTCCATGTTCCTTCGGGAGGAAAATACCGAAGGCACAGTATCACGAGGTGGTTCGCTCAGACCGTTCAGCATTGCGATTCAGCCATGACCGGCAGTATTTCCGACCCAAACATCTAAGCCACGACTCGGAAACCTCCATGTCTCCGCCCTTGAAGACTAGTAGCATGAAATGATGTCAAATTATCACTTTCCAGTCGTGCCAAGTAGCATAAAGCTCATCTCCACAATGTAACGGCTGTTATGCCGGGACCCTGGTAAATACGTCTCGGCAACGATAGGAGCGGCGCTGGCCGGTACGCACGACACTGCCACCGGCCATTATCGATAAGAATTTCTCAACTGCTCAGGTTGTGTGTTGGAGAAGGGAGGCAACCGGTAGACCTGACATGTCGACGTCCATCGTCGGCCTGCTCCGGTCTAGTGGCCACGAGCACGCAGCAAAGTCCAAAAAGCCAAAAGCCGGAGACAAACGTCCGTCACGACATGATCTCGATCAGACATCAAAGCACGCGGCCAATCAGGCTCTTTCCACAGAGCAACCAAGGCAATTTGCAGGACAGCGCTTTCCCTCCACACGGTCGTGCGTCATTCATGAGGTTCCCTCCCCCACCTGTGGCTGATGGATCCTAAGATTGCTCTTCAACCAGATGCCAGTTTAAGACATTCGAGAACAGACTTGTCTGTCTGACAAAAAGGCAAAGTCATTATCCTGCATGACGCTTCTTTCTGTTGGTCAACTTGGAGATAAAACCGGGGCAGTGACTGTCCGCCAATGACGGCCACAAGCCACACGCACCTGACGTCATCTGTTGCGGAAGCAACATCTCCAGCTAACAGTTGAACGACCACAGAGGATGTTGTGTAACCTTCTACGTCCTTCTTTCACGCCAAGTTCCCAACCCGTGACATCTTTCACCAAGGCAGCAAACGGTTAAGTGCTTTGACCAAGCCATGAGGCACCCACTTTCAAGGTTGCCTAATGTCCCCCAGCCAATAGAAACCAATCCCGTCCCTCGGAGCTTCTCCCCCGACATCATCTCTCAACACCACGTCCTACCAAAAAAACGTGGCCTTGGAATATCCATGACGCAATATGTCCCTCACCCCATCATGTGCAAAGAAAACAGTTTTGTAGCCGCGGAAAATAAGGCGAACCCGTGAAGCCTTGACCGCAGTCCTGTTGTACTCATCGGTCTGACATTGTATATAAAAAGCCACAAGACGGCCTTCCCGTTCCTCCATCTTCTCTTATCCCGGACATCGAACTTTACCAATCAAAAAATACAATCACTCTTTTTACATTAAAAAATTACCTACCAAAGTACTTTGACAATGGATTCCCTCAAGCAAGGTGCCAACTACGTCTCCGAGACTGTCAAGCAGGCCACCAGCGGAGCCTCCAAGGAGACCAACAAGCAAGTTGCCAAGGACAGCGATGCCCCCATCGGCACTCGGTATGAACATCCCCGGATCGTCGTCGTTTCGACATGTAAACTAACTGGTGTAGTGCTTCTGCTGCCAAGGACGCCCTTGGTGACAAGGTCGACGAGCACAAGCACGATGCTAAAGCTGAGGCTCACAAGCAGCAGATCTAGATTGGTTTTGCGGGACGAGAAATGCCGAGAGCAAATGTTGTTTGCGGAATGACGTGCATATCCAATACCCCCTAGATAATTGCAATTTAAAACATGTCAAATTTTCTTCTCCAACCTGTTGATGTATATTCTTGATCTAGCGTCGTAGATTCTTTTCGCGATATTAATTACAGTTCTCACATTCAATTACCAGTAAAATTACTTGCCCGTCCACCACCTTTGTATAATCCACGCTGTAGTCGTGTCTACACCCCGTACGCTTTTCCCTCACCCTCCCTAGTTATTCTTCTTGGTGGGAAGGGCCAAAAACGCATTTGAGATCTGACAGTACGAATACCACATGGCGTAAAGAGGGATGGCAACCCAGAGGCCGTTGAAGAAGACGAGGTATACCCACATGTACATGAAGTTGCTACCATCCAGGTTAATATTGCCGGTGAGCCACTCGGGGCAAAAGGTCATGAATCCTATGACATAACTTGGTTAGCAAACAAAGTTTTTTTTTTTACAACATCAGTCAGTCAATCTGTAATGCACACCTCCATAAAGCTCAGCAGTAGCCAGAATAATCATCCAAAAGTTTGCCTTGGGGCTCCCCTTGCTAATCAGATAGCAGATGTACAAGGCCACAGGTCCATCAAAGAACACAGTCAGCAGTTCAAGACTAACAACACCCTGAAACCCATCAAGTAAAAAAAAAGAAAGGTCAGCTCTACACACTCATAATAGGTTCGATCACTCGGAAAGAGGTAGGTGGCGTACCAGGTCTATACCAGCCCATCTCTTGTCCGCCCTGGCATATACCATCCACAGCTGCGCAAACGGGTTATCCCCACCGCTTTGCGGCCCATAAATTCTCTGGTTCTCCCAGCCCAGGAAATTAAATGGTGTGGGAAACAAGTTTGTAATGTCTGTCTCGGCGTCGGGTGTCATGTACGAGAAGAAGCAGTGGTACAGGAAGCTGCCTTCAAGGATGAAGTGGCACAGCGCGTCGGCTAGGTGCCAGATGAAGAGGAAGCGGAGCGTGCCGGATGTTGACGTGGGCAGGACGGATTTAGAGGTGAGGTAGGCGACTAGGACGATGGCGACGGTGGCGAGGAGGGAGATGATGGTGGTTTGGTCGAAGAGGTCGGGGGGCAGGTCGGACATTGTGGCGGGTGGTCGTGGTGGTTTGCGGAGATGAGATTCGTGATGATGGCGGCCGGTGCTGCGAGGCGAAGGAGTCAATTGGCGGTTTTAGGAAGGGAAGTAATAAGCAATCTTCTGAAATTGGCCGAGCGTGAGGGCGCGCTGCGTTGGCTCTGTCGTTTTATGGTCGACGGTGAAGCTGAGCTCCTGTCCTCACTCCCTCAAGAGCTTCCATGTCGCGGAGAGAGCTCCTGTCCCCACTGGGGACCCTTGGTCAGGTCCCAGCCCGACCCGACTGGTCCTCATTTCTGCTCTGCAAGTTTTATTAGTAGAGCACGAGACGGGGGACCAACAAACGCCAATTATACCGCCATCGCAACCATTACACATTGACAACAAGACAATGTCATCTACATCCCTTTCGATTTTGGAAACAAACTTGGCACTACATATCACAACACATCACCCATAAAGCACCCCATCACATCGACAATCGATCAAGGCAACCAGATGCAAGATACAGGATGCCTTTGTGTACATGCAACCCAACTTCCCTTTCCTTCCTATTTACGGAGTACTGGATTCTACATGAAATCGTCAAAAACCCATCTACTTCAGCCATCCATAGCTTCACCAGACAAGACAAGATATCCCTCAATTGCCAACATCCCTAATCCCACTTCTTGAACTCCTTTTGTTTCTGTCTCGTGTTCCACCCCAGTTTCCCACTGATACTATTCACCCAGTCCTCGCTTCGCCGACCCTCTGTCTGCACAGACGCGAATGGGAACCGACTCGCGCTGATAGTCACATAGTCACCAGGCTTCATCTCCACCCGCTCACGGCCGTCAAAACTCGCCCACGACGCCGTCCGGGCGTCGTACGGCACGCCAACGCGGAGCACAATGGTATCGGGCAGAATGATTGGTCTGAACGAGAGTGTATGCGCGCAAATGGAGGTGACTAGCATGACGGGGTTTTCAGGGTGGCAGAGTGAGCCTCCAGCTGCGAGGTTATACGCCGTGGATCCCGTTGGCGTAGATACGCAAACGCCATCCGCAAGAATGGAGGTGAAATGCTCGTCGTCTCCGAAAATCTCAGTGTATGACATGGCTAGGATACTGTGTTAAATGGAGGTTTGATACAATACTCATCAGCAGAGGGGCATTCTTCTTACTGGGATTCGGTCCACGGTCCACCACCACTTCGTTCAGGATTTCGTAAGTGCCGTCGGGTCGATGGGTGTGTTCGTCTTCCCTCTCTTCCCCTATCAACTCTTCTACCAAGTCCCTGCGGCTGTGAAGATCGTCTTCGTCTTCGCCAGACTCCTTTTCTTCGTCAGAGTACTTTCGTCTGATGCTCCTCATCACCGTGCTTTCAAAACGAAGGCGCAAACTAACAGTCACGCCCTTGTCAAACGCAGACCCTAGTATTCTTTCGTGCTCTCCAAAGTCAAACTTGGTCAAAAACCCCAAGCTGCCGAGGGCAAAGCTCAAGACAGGAGGGACGATGCGCTGGAATAGCCAGCTGGCATATAGGACCGTGCCGTCGCCGCCGAGCGTAATCACAAAGTCAAACATATGTGGTCGCGATCTACACATTGGCTCGTCCCAGTACCGGAGTCGTCGTTCCAGACTCGCTCTTGCTGTGGCAAAGTCTACAGCACCATCTGCAGAGTAGCTCTTGGCCGCATCGTCCAGAATACCGGCTACGTCGAACTTCTTGCTTGTCTTCAATTTGTCTTGCACAAACACGACGTAATCAACGTCCCTTTGATTGTGCAAAAGCCACTTTGTCAATTCTCTGGCCTTGGGAATCAAGTCTTGGTCGTAAACTTTGGTCAAAAGGAAAATAGTCTTGACTCGAAAGCGGATTCGCATGCTGCTCAGTCTTCGACTTAATTCACGAACACCCCATGCCATGTCGGAAAGTTGCTTTTTAGTAAGCATGCGACTGTGAACCTCGTCGTTTTGAGTCAAATCCAGCTGCGAGGCACTCTTGGACATAGTACGGGTCCAAGCCTCCTGATCAGCCTGTCCAATTCGACCTCCATCGAGGCTAGAGGGATCTACCTCGACACGTGAGTCTTGTCTTGGCTTGTGTTTGGATCCGGAGGGTCTGTCTTTGCCCTCTGCTCTAGTTTCATCGACATTGTGCTCATCGTGCTCGTCGGGGCTCGCATAAATAGGATGCGCATGGTATCGTTTCTGACCAGCATCGCCAACTGCGGCGTTGGCTCGACGCTGGCTATCTAGAAACTGATGGACAAGGCATTGGTCGCGCCGGGCAGCCGCGGGGTGTTGATGTGCATATGGCGGCACTACCTCTGATGCCACGAGAGAACTCTTTCGGCGATATGGATTGGCGGGGTCAAAGGTCACCTAGAAGCAGAAAATGACCTCTCGCGTTAGCTATGTGCACCCGCAAAGTGTCGCGACTCAATTGGGATGAAGGCCTTCGCACCTCCAACGACTTGGTGTCATCGTCACTGTCGCCTACAGACCCGTCCGCCTGCTTTTCTGGTTCGGCAAAGGTTGCATGCTTCACTGTTGTCGCCTTGACCTTTCGGTCTTTATCGCTGTTGCCGTCGCCGTCCTTCATCGTGGTATAATCGAAATAGCTGTCCAAGTGTATCGACAGCGGCGTCGGAAAGTCAAATCGTCTCGCCGCTCGCTACACTGTGGCTCTGTGTCTCGAGATGGCGGGGTTAATGTCGCCAAGCTCCAACCACAGTATGGTCGTGCAGCCTACAATCGGTTCAGATGTGGGAAATCAATTGACCGGCTTCCTTGTCGGTGTCGCCGATGGTGATGATGCGCGTTGTTTGTCCTTAGGGGGTTAGGAACACGCCAGCATGATGACAACATGCTGAAGCTCATCTTACGAAAGCTTATCCAGCAAACCAATCTTGGGTGCCGCGGTAGATAGGTATCAGCTACATACCCTAGCTACAGGTAGGTACTACCAGCTTGCCAATGGGAATACCAGACGCCTCAACCGGCACAACCGGATCTAAAGAATTAGCGGCAGGATTTCTGATCGATGGCTGGGGCAGAATGCAGGGGCCCACAGACCAGGTTTCTGCTTGAGAATTGGTGGTTCGTTCATGTCACGGGAGAAGGACAGCAGTCAGTCGCATCCTGTAAAAACGTTGCATATGCCAATTCATATTCGCAAAGTGCAGGACAGGGCAAATTAACATCAAATAAAGGACCTGTGAAGCACTTTGGTCGAGGAGGAATACGCAGACATACATACATGTAACATAAGAGACAAGTGGAGAGGCGTGCCCGACGTGAGTGTGGATGAGGATTACGATGAAGGTCAATTTAATAGTCAATTCATCAATGTGACGCGAAGTCTGTGAATGACGGTAGATGGTGTTGATGACTGCTTTGAGCTCGTTGAAAACCCGACGTGGTACCGTCGGACTGGATATCAGAGTGTATATGGAATTACCAGAGCTGAGATATGTAGTTACTATGAGTGGGGTTCGGCCGTTCCATCAAGAAAGTGGCAAGACACATTCTACATCCCTAGCTCTTGTATCGGCACCGTTGCATTCTTCATGCTCCGGTAGATGCTGCTGCTTCCCTCCACAGGGCTGGTTTCTCCTTGTCAGCTCTGGGAGTAAGATACACCATCAACGGATTCTTCTCCCACAGCGTATAGGATCGTTGGCTCAGCCACCCCGAACTCTCAGACGCAAGTTTCATGTCGAAATTATAAATCACACGAGCGAGGATCAGTCGCATCTCAGCATATGCCAGACTGCAGGGCCCGTTAGCATTACTTTCTTGCCTTCCGTTTTCACATGAAAGTAGACAATGATGTGTGTTGAGAGGGAGATTGGAGGGGTTTATGCCCTGCGGGGGGAAGAGGGGGGGTTTGCGGATTAGAGAGGCAACTAGGCAAGTGCGATGCTTACTTCCTGCCAATACAGTTTCGTGGACCGACATGGAATGGCTGAAAAATGTTTCGGTTGTCGTTTGCGAACCTTGCGTCTCCCAAAAATCTCTCGGGATGGAAGTTGAAGGGGTCCTGGAAGTGCTCTTCCATGTGATATACAGCCCAATGGTGGACGCCCACAACGGTCTGAGGTCAGGTAAGCATCCATTTGTATAATTCTCGTCATCTTTCCCGTCTCATGGAGGGCCAACTACTCACGCCTTTAGGCAAGAAGGTTCCTGCAACCATGCCGCCCTCCTTTGGAGTGGTTCTTGGCAACGCAATTGCAACAGGCGGATACATTCGGAGAGCTTCATCTAAACAGGCTAGCATATACCGGAGTCTACTGGCAGATTCGATAGTAATCTCGTCTTCATCGGCAAAGGTCGATCGGACTTCCTCTGTCAGGCGCTTGAGGGTGTGGGGATTAGATGTGAGTAGGTACGTGACACCAGAGAGGACGGTGGCCGTCGTCTCGGATCCTGCAATAACTAGCAGCGTGGAATTCGACTCTAACTGCTCAATCGACATGTTCCACTCATCCTTCTTCTTCAAGACACCGTCTATCAGATCATCCCTACTGCCAGCTTCGATTCTTTTTTGCAGCTTTGCTTTGTTGATCTTGTCGTGGAATCTCTGCTTCTCGAGGGCCCGGTTGGGGAGTATCCTCGTTACGATACGCTTCAGGAGAGGGTAATAGTCTTCGACCTGGAAATAGGTTCCCAGACGGGTCAACTCAAAAATACACTTGACCCATTCGTGGTAGTCGGAATTTTCAAGACAGCCGAAAGAGTCTCCAAAGGCTAAATCACCGATGATGTCAAATGTGGTGAAATTGTACCACGAATCCATACGAAGGGGGGTCTTGCCGTTGTTGTTCCACTGGTGTAGTCGCTTGATGAGGAGATCGACAAAGTGCACGATACGTGACTCTTGGCCTCTCATGGACTTGTCTGAGAACCCATGAGATAGTTGCCGTCTCAATGCGGCATGTTCGTCCCGACCCGAGTATATTATGTCTGGTGGCGTAAGTGCAGCTCTACCCGGTCGGTAAATGGGACGATATTTGGCGAACTCTTCGGCGTTGTTCTTGTGCCCCATAATGTCTCTCCACGCCTCAGCATCACTGAAAGCAAGCTCATTGGGTGCAATTCGCACAATGGATCCGTATTTCTTATGCAGATGAAGTACAGTAGCATGATGCCTTCCGCTGAGCAGAGAACGCAAATAAGGGATTCGAGAAGCGGCATAGAACCGGGGGCCAGGGTATTTCCTCAAAGGGTGCAACCACAGGTTGTAAATCCAGCAGCCTGCAGTATATATTATGACCTATATTGCTTCAGTACGGAACGCCCCAGCAGCAATGTTGAATATCATTGATTTTGGGAGAGTACTAACAAATAACGACAGGGCTCCTGCGATGAGCCCAAGACGGCTTGAAACCTCAGCCAACTGCACCATGATTGCCGGATGTTATGCGTGGTAGAACAGGGCACAGAATGGAGCAGACACAATGATTTTCTGTTTCTAGATTTTCATTCGTCAGTGCCGCGTCCTCAGAAATATCGTCGTTGCCTAATATATGCACCAGTACTGGCCGAAATGGTTTGCGGCTAAGTCATGATGTTGTGCGACTCGAGACAGATGCCTCTGAGGGGAAAATGTGCTTCATAGCCGCAATATATCTTGTCGGCAGTCTACTCATACGGAGCGCGGCGCAATCTTCTCTGCGGCACCCAAGTGAATGGGCACCAGCCAGTGAATCTTTGGTCCATTCCTCAACGTCGTCGCTGATATGCAGACAATCGGCTCCCGACGCTCCCACATGACTTGAAACTGGTACTGAGCGGGGAGATATTTGCGGAGTTTCGTTTAGCTGGAGAACACTGACCAACTACAGGCGGTGTAATTGGAGGATCGACGTCGCATCGTAAGTTATGCAGCCCTTCGGAAAGTGAGTAACCACCGCTAGGGCTTCGCCTCTACTAGGACCGGAGCCTGATCAATGCTGATTGTCTAGTAGGATACATTCAGGGCGAGATATGGAGTAGAGGGGCTAAGACGGAGTGATATATCATCCGTCATCATTGCGTCTTATTCGCTCCAACTACGCGGTACATCCACTAGGTGTTGGTCGGAAGCATTACGGATACAAGTTCTACATATGTACAATGAGCGTCGTTGGTATCCTTGGAACATGGCCCAGTGGATAAGTGCCGAGTTGACAAGCGGCCAGCCATGCAAGCCTAGCTTGCTTTCTGAGCAAGAACCCAGGTGCTATGGAGTACTGCTGGCGGGTAGATCCCGGTCTCCACCCCCAAATGGTTGGAATCCCATTGAGTGCGCGGAGGTGCGTTGGATGTACCGAATTCAGGTTCTGGCCAATCAAAAATCTAGTGTTAAAAGGTACATTACCCTACTAGTATTTCATATAATAATAAAAGTCACTAGAAGTTTTAAAGTTACAAAGAAATACCTCATATTATAGCTAACTTAGCAGTAAAAGAGGTACTATTTAGGTATTGCGGAAAAGTGGGTCTAGGACATTTAACGCACCTCCGCGCACTCAATGGGATGGGCTGGAATGGCTTTTCTCGGCCGACCGAAGTCACACCCTGGTCGGTGCAGGTCTCCTCAGGATAGTCCTCATTGGTGCTTCTCCAAAGGCCTCTGAGAATCCGGTAGCATTTAGGGTGGACCAGCTACCCCCAGGCAGGGCAGGTCTGTGTGAAAGACGAGACTCAGTCGACAAATGCTGAAACAGGAGCCCAAGTGGAACGAAGACATTGTGGCGATGATGAAAACTTGACGGGCTGTCTAGGCTCCTGTACATGCGCCTTGTCCAAAGCACGGGTGGTATTGTGGCTGGGAAAATGTCGTCCAAAGCCGCAACTCTCACCACTTACCAACATTTTCATTTTCCTCAACAAGATATTTACTACGGAGAACACAGCCGCCTGGCAGAAACTCCGCAATAAGAGATCAAATTGTTCCTCCATCTTATGTACAGTCGAAGCGAACTCCGCCGTCTAGAGCTCTCCGGCCAGCGATCTCGCGTAATGGAATGCTTCCCGCATATATAGGAGTCTAGGCAGAATGCAGGCTGCGGTTGAGGGTCTGCATAGGACCCCGGGCTGACCGTGTCAGTGGCGCGGGATGAGTGTGAGCCGATGGTGCGATTCAACTGATTGTCTTTGTGTTCTTGAGATGGAGTGTAGCGCTGGATGTAATACGCGTATCGTAGGTGGCCGGCTTGGAATGCTTGCGAACACGGCCACGTCAGAGGTCCTGGGACAATGCGGAATGCGTATGTAAGTTGGTGCATGAAGTCGGTCGCTTCTTCTTCAAATGGGGCCATGACTGCTGACAGTTCGGGCCGAGCTAGGCAGTACTGGTGCTCTCGAATGAAATCGGCATATGTGCACGATCTTCAGAAAGAAAAGTAACTGCTCTTGCTAACCAAAAATTGACCAGAAACCCCAGGCAACACGCTCAAGCCTGCGTTGCCCATACACGGAGGCCATGCTTTACAAGCCGCAGTAGACGCATGGCCACAACGAGATGTGGAAATCAAAGCGAAAACACCACCAAGAAAGAAGCAACTATTACCTACAAGATCTGCCCGCCGGCGCGAACAGTCCAGCTCTTGACCATCTCTCCATTCCGTCTCCCTGGCATGTAGCAAAAGCAGGCCATCTCATCAACACCAACCAAGTATTGCATTTCAAATCCTGAGACGACCGTATATATTCCACGGCTCATATACTACCACCGCTATAGCCCTGCAGACACAATAATACGATCCATCCCCCTCATGGCATGACGTCCAAACGCCCCAGGTCTCAAGCCCGGGCAAAAAAAAATGATCATCAAACCCATGTCCCGAAGGTCTACAGTCTTGGCCCCAGCACAAATCAACCAGCTATCACGAAATAAAAACCCCCGTTGAGCTCTGTCAGACTTCGTCTTTCCCAGCTTTTTTCGCCAACCTTTTTTTTTTCGAGGTCATGTTCATGTTGACCAACGACTCTCTGCCTTGATGGTGTCCCGGGCAGTCGCTTGTAGGAAATACCGAGACCTTTTTAAGAATTAAAAATGGCCAGCCGGGGTAGATACGCGCCGAAGCTAGTATCGAGATGAATATACCAGAACCACATGACCTTCAAGTACTTGCGTAAATATACAAACCCACAGGCCCCTTGGCCGCTATACGGAGAATGTAAGTTTCCACAGTTGACACGGTTATCTAGGGTAGAACGTGAATAAGTATTAATACTTTTCTGTTATAAATAACTTTTCTTCTATTAAGTTATTACTTAAAATCCTATTTTTTTTCTTAAACTACTTATTTACACTTATTTAAATTTATTTTTTCTTTTATTATTACGTAATTTCTTTTGTCAGTAAAGGCATAGCACGAGTCGCCGCAGCAAGGCTGCAAGGGTAGCATAAATTTGTATACATGCTTTAAAACCGTTGTACAATCAAGGGATAGGCATTTATGCTACTCTAGCTAGCGGGGTACATTATAAGCTACGGTATTTAACACTTTATAAGCGGTATAGAAACCTTCTATTAAAATGTTCCTAGATCACTGACTAAAAAGTGAGAAGGCGCAGAGATTATGCGTGTTATCCAGCAAAGTTCGACTATGTTACACGGCAATACCCCGATCAATTCAACCACAGCTGGTCACAAGGTCAAGCACGGTCACGATACACGAGCCAACTAGAGGTCTAGCCGGTAAGGCATTAAAACCCAAGGCATCTAAGACTTAGATGCCTCAGTTATCTAGGTCGGGTTACCCACACGGAAGGTCTTATATATACATGGCCGTATGTCAGGTTCCCTAGATTGTTGAACCAAGGACCCTTTGACACCATACGTGATGATTACTCTAATATGAAGCTTTTCCCTTCCAAGCGATTGTTATCATGCCCTTGTTACAGACTAGGTCGAATTTCCTGCGTCAGGGCATAAGGAGCATAATATCCTACTATGTGTATAAGCCATGACAACGTAATTCCAAGTCTGCCGAGCAAATGTATTCTCTTCCTTGCTCTGCATGACTAGATATGTCTTTCGCCTGAAAATGCCTATTCATGCAAAATAACATGGGCCGTATATGCGCAGCTACATCTAGAGTGGTAAATTGGGGCCATACATGAGTATAATATATCTATTCATCTTTATACCTCTATACAAAGTAAAGACTGCTCTACAACGTGGCAATTGCTCTGACCCTTGACTTTTGAGTCACCCAGCGATCCTCCCCGTCTGCCGAATCTATATGCAATCCTCTAGCGTCATGTATTTCCACCGTGCCAGTCTACCCCTTCTGGGGGCCCTGTCCCTCTCGGCTCGAGCTGCTCCTCAGTCGGAGGATCTGACTGCCCAGAGGCCTGGAATCATACAGCTGTCTCTCAAAGCTCCGAGAGCGAGGGACAAGCGCCAAGTCGATATTGACCTGACGTACACTTCCAATTTCAAGTACGATGTAGAGTTTTCTCTTGGCACACCCGGCCAGAAAATTGTCGGCAGCTTCGACACCGGCTCTGTATACATATGGGTAAGAGAGAAAGCAGAAGCTTCAGTCAACACCGCCGTCGCCGGGGCTCGTTCCTACTTCGACAAAAGTAGCAGCTCGACTCTTGTACGTACAGGGGAATCAAAGACAACCGGGTACAATATCGGCGGTAATTCGTCCCATCAAATCGACCTGTACCGGGATAACATGTCTCTAGGTGGTGAGTGATTTTCGTTTGCGACGGCATTTGTCGCCCCTGTAGATTGGAGATGGCGGCGTCCTTCTCGGCGGCGTCAACCGGAAGAAGTTCTGGGGTCGTCTCGGGAAGCAGAAAATGACTGTGCACCCCTTCCACGGCAAGGAGTAGGTCCAACGCCAAAACCCAAGCTTCAAGTGTTTGATGCGACTCGGGCTAATTTATACCCAAAGCTACGTCATCTCCTTTAACGAGGTCTCTGCTACGGCTGAGAACGGGTCGAAATCTAGTTTAAGTCGATCTGATGAGGGCATTCCTGCACTACTCGATACCGGCACTCTTCTGAATAAGTTTCCGCCCTCTGTTTTCCAGTCAATTTTAAAGAGATTTCCTGGCGCTAAACCCATGAACAAGTACCCGCTCTACATCGTTGATTGCTCACTCCGTGATGTCAATGCCTCGATCGACCTTGCCTTTGGCAAAACAACTATCAAGATGCCATATAGCAACTTCATCCTCTCGATTGAGAAACCCGAGTGCGTTCTTGGTATGAGGGAGTCTAAAAGTGACTGCGACGTATACTTCTCTCGTCCTTGGAGAGCCAGACGCTTATATACCTCTAGTACACACAGTGCTCGGCCAAGTGTTTATGCGCGGCGCCTACATAGTCATGGATCAAGACAACTCGGAGGTCTATCTGGCCAACGCCGTGAGCTGCGGTTCCGAACCGGTAGCTATCGACAAGGACGTTTCCGCTATATCTTCTCTCACCGGGAAGTGCCAGCCCCCCGTCGTGGAACAGAATCTTTTGCCGTGGAAAAGGCCTGGCATAGATGCTGAGAATTGTGTGGATGCGGCAAGCGAAGACGTTTGTGGGACAGCCGAATACTGTAGGATCTTCCCAGGCGCATTTGGCAGCGACTTTGAGACGGAAGATGACTGCCTTGCCGCTCATGAAATTCCACTCGATGATTGAAGGCGCAGACGAGGGCTAGAGACTTGTGTTGTTTGGAAGAATAAACGTTGCTTGTTGGTAAAGTGCATCTTGTCGAACACGTTGTGCAATGCACCACACTCGATGACGTAGATGATTGCAAACGCTCTCCAATGTTCCAATTGTCGTCTTGTCAAGGAAAACCAACGAGAACCACCACAACTCGCATTAAATTCTCCATGTCCCGCAGACCGCATTGGGCTTTTCTGGTGTCGGTGTCGCATCGCGTGGTGGTGTGTCAGGGGTCAGGAGTGCGGAACATGTCTCACGCCCAGCCGACGGAAAATTTGGGAATATTGAATCTCACCTGGGCGAGAAACCGCCAGGCATTACACAATGGGCGAGCAACTGCGAACATCGAAGAATTGAGGCCGACGGGTGGCAGCGCCTAGGTTCGTGGGGACCCACCAATGTACTCTGCACAGTATGAATATCTAGTCACATGGACACTTCTGGGGTTACTGGCACTGTATAGGCGTACATTTCTCAACTGCATTTTATTTGACAACTAGACAGTCCTGCCTATTGAGAGAATACAGTGCTTTTTGCTCTACTATGTCTTTCTCTATGCGTATTATAGCTGTTTGCCCTACCTATAAATCGTTCGCTTGGAGGATTTCAAAAATTCAAGAGGGCCCCGGAGCGTAATGACCGTCTTCCCCGTCACGGCCCAGCTTCCTCCGGGCGGTCCTTGCACCCCATGGCAGCCCAGTTCCCCCTGCCCGCCTTGTTTCAACCCGCGCCGCCACCGGCGAATTATCAACAGATGAAGATGCGACGAGTAAACTGCACAAATCGCCCGGATGTGAACCATCACCAACCGTTGTTTCACGACAACATGTCAAACAAAAACTGACGCCGGGCAGACGCATGAGTAGTACCATTACAGCTCGGCAAAACCATGGATCGATCAGCATTTCAGCAAAACCACACCCCCCCTTGTGTTTCCCGCACTCAACCTCAGTGCCGCAGGTCGAGCATCAATTCATACATACGCCACGCCATGCAACACCATCCAAGACTAAGACTGCAAAAATGAAGCATCTCATCCTTGTTGGAGCATGCTACCTAGACACAATCCTTAGGCAAGTCATCCCTGCGCATGCGCCACTTTGGCACGCACGCGCGGCATACTACTGACCTGCCCTGCAGCGTGCCTCACTTCCCCCAAGAAGACGCCAAGCTCCGCGCGACAAATCTCACGATCCGCAGGGGAGGCAACTGCCCGAACTCACTCGAGGTGCTCCAGCAGCTCGTTACAGACAATGACAATACGCAACTGCACCTCGTGTCGTGTCTGCCGCGCCGGGATGCCCCCAGCACCAGGAGAATCATCTCGTCATTCGGGCCTGACACCAGAGTCGATTTCCGGCACTGCATATATAGGGAGGGGTATACGGAGGCTGCGAGCAGCTACATCATCAAAAGCCAGCAGAGCAATAGCCGCACCATCGTGAATTACAACCATTTGCCGGAAATGACGTGCCATGAGTTTGCCCAAGTGGTGGACGGCTTTGATGGGCATGAGCCGACATTGTGGCACTTCGAGGTGAGCGCTGCATTTGCCTTTCTCTTTCGGCTACTGAATCTGGCGCTGCGAGGCCGTCATTTGGTACTTTGGTACTATCCCGACGTGCGACAGCCTTCTCTGGTCTGTGATTTATCTTCGAGGCAGAGGAATTGTGACTGATGACTTTGGCTTGCTTTTTGTCCGCGGCACAGGGCCGCATCCCGGAGACTACCCTCGCATGCATGCGTCTGCTCCGACAGAAGCTGCCCGAAGCAAACATCAGCGTCGAGGTTGAGAAGCCCGGTAGAGAGGGACTATCACAACTCGCCCAAGAAGCCGATGTTGTCTTTTATTCTCGGGTGTGGGCAGAGGTAAGGATTCCATCACTTATTACGCGCAGTCTTGACAATTTGTACTCGGTCCCTCCCTCGTCGTCTCATCTATTCCTCCTTTTCTTGTGCCCTCGCCTCACTGAGACAGGATGCCTAGAACAGCCATGCTCATGACTAATGTACAATGCGTAATGCTAGAGCCGAGGACACAGGTCTGCCACAGCATGTCTCACAAAAGAACGCCGCCATCAAGGGTAGGTGACACCTGCCGTAACTCTCCTTTTTTTTGGTCTCTTCCTTTCCAACGATTTGACTGACATGACATGCACAGATCACTCGGATTGTGCACTTGGGGTGCAGACGGGGCGACTATCATGTCTCAGGCAACCGGAGCCTGTCTTCACTGCCCCGTGGAGAGCGAGTCTGGCCAAATTTCCGTTGTAGAGTGAGTCCCCAACCCAGCAAGCTTTTGCAGAGACACTCATTGGACATCAGAGGCTTGGAGGAGACCGACTCTCTGCAAAGGCAGGAAACGCCTAGATTTGCGCCATGACGGCGGTAACAACATGGCTAACTGTATACCACCTTGGCCCTTTACTTCACAGTCCTGTCGGCGCTGGCGATACATTCATTGCCGGAATGCTTCTCAGCTTGATACGCAACGACTGGCCCTTGTCGGATATCGGCAAAGCAGCATCATTTGCTGTAAGGCTAGCAACCTTGAAAGTCCAGAGAGAAGGTTTCGGAGGACTTGGGCTGGATATTGCGTCACGATAGTCAGTTCCCGCCAATCTCTTAGGTCCTTTTTGTCACTTCCGCTGGCAAAGGAGGCCGCCGACAGCCAGACAAGACGCGGGTTCATTCTGACGGCCATTTGTTTCTGCCGTGTTCTATTGCAAAAGAAAGAAGCCAGGCCAGTCACAGGAGTTTGCCTGACTAGAGTGAGGCATCCGGAACAGTTGCTTGCTTACCTATCAGAACGTGTAAGACACAAAAGCTTTCAATCAGGATATGGAAATGGCGTTGTACGTCATTGAAGCTCAGTCCCCCTTGGATCGGATTTGCTTTCCCAATCGACTCTTACCAGTGGCCACATATATTGCCCAGCCCACAGACGGCGGCAGCCGTCAAAGAGTCACTCGTTCGCGGCAGCATTGGTCAGGACAGTCGGTATCGGCGCACGGTTTTCCGAGCCCAAAGAACTGATAATGCGTCGAGGTAACGGGCAAATACGCCGTCCAAGGCGGGTGATGAGCGGTCGCTTCTTGGGGGCGCCAGAGTTCTGGTGCTGCCAGCAGACTCGGTACTGCCAGGCCATTTCCCATGCAGCGTGACTCTCCAGCAAGTGAAGATCAACATATTCAACCCGGGATCAAGCCCTGCAGCATGGCAGACACAAGCACGAGCAAATCATCACCCATCAAGCAGGCGACTAATGGCCTTTTGTCTGGTAGAGCGACTTCATTCTGCATGTTATGGAACTTGGCTGGGTGTCAGATTCCACCAGGTCGAAGAGTCTTGGCGAGGGACGGGACATCAGCCCCCGGTAATACGTAGTCCTGTCCACGAGGCTGAGTGAGTCCAAGGAACATCTGCTGTGGGGCTATTCTTGATGGGAGAGTTGTCTCAGTTGCGAGAAACCGAAGTTTTCATCCAGCTACCCAGGGAATATGCCTCAGGCGAGAGCAGCCCCGTCAATACTTATGTCGATCCTATTACTCATTGTGCTTGTTCGTTGGCAGTGACTCCCTTATTCGTCTGTGGCAATGTTGCACGTACATACACACTGACCCGAGGGCCAGCCCGTCGCAAAACACCACCTGGATCGATGTGTGCGGCCTTTTCATCACAGGCCAGAGAGACTCGGATGCCGGTGCATGTACTCTGTAGGGGCGCTGGGGTCTTGGGGGTGTTCCCTGTCGACGGCGGAGCTACATAAATATTGTAAAATGTTCCATCTTGAGATTGACCAACAGTTTTCCACAACGATGGGAGGGGGTAGTGCGACAGCCGGATACGTTTTTCTTTGGTCGACGCTGAAAAAGGTGGCTGAAAGTTGTGTAATAAAGGTACCTAATGTATTAGCTTTTTTTCCACAAATGTTATTTGCAGGCCCGGAGAAGCTACATGGAACCCTGTACTTGGAGAAGAGAGGGTATGTGACGCCAACATGGCACATGAGATCCCCAAGCGACCGCATGGAGCCGTTGCGGACAACTCGATGTTGGCTGCGCCGGCTACGGCGGTTGCAGCTGGAACAGGCGCTTCCCGGTGCCTGATACCGCGATTTCCGGTGGCATTAATGCTTTCCGTAAAGAGGCCCCTCGGGGCGATTTACCACACAGGTCAAGTCACTGCATGCAAAGTCTCGACAAGGGGGCGAAATGCCGACTCGCAGCCCCTACTACTCCGTGCTCCGTACTGACTCCGTACTCGGTATTGGTTCCAGATTGCCCATTGCGGAAAGAATGCTCGAGCTCGAGGGGTAATTTAACACTTGACAGCATGCCAATCATGTCAAGTTCTTCTGCACACCTTCGGTTAGCGGGAACGAAGAGTCAGTCCCTAGCAATGGAGTCTGGGAGCAAACGTGTAAAGCATGTCCATACAACGGAAAGCCTTGATGCAGGAAAGCAAATAGTTTGCCCATGTCAAGACCGGACAGGCATTTTCTCCCATGATGCCCATGTTGGAAAGAAAGGGGCGTGCGCATTGCCTGGTCCGGCCCAGACTCGAAGGCTGCCGCCGCAGATTATGACAATAATGCATCGGTTTGTGAGCTCAAGGGAGCAGCTGATCAAGTCAAGTTACGACCGATATTCTACCGCGCAGAGACATGGTGAGGAACGGGTAAAGTTCAAAGCGTCTTGTTCCAACAATAGGCAGGCCATAATCTAAGGTTTTTGGAGTTGGGGGCGTGTGCGTCTGGGAGAAAGAGCCGAGGGGTTCGGAGTGCACTCTCGAGTTCCAGCATCGTTTCCCCTTCCAGCACACCCAAGCCCTGTGGCCCCCTCGGCTCTTGCTTATTTTTCTGCTAATAGGTACTGGACATCGAGGCTCAAGGCTGGAACCGCAAAGATGGCCTGTGAATCTGGAAAGGTGGTGTGGGGTTTGAGCGTAGCCTTTGCTCACTGCCTCGACTTGTGACTGCGCATGTACGTACGTATTACGGAGTACAATACTCCGTACTCCGTGCTATGCGCCCAGCTCTGTCATGTACTTAAGTACCTAGGTACTTACTTGGGTGAAATTGGAAAGCGACATCAGCTTCTGTCCCTTCAGCTGTCTCAGATGTACGTATGTACATCCATGTCCAGGCATCATCGTGCACGCGGCGTTGAGTCCCAAAAGACACCCTTAGCAGCTCCGCCATTAGAAGCACACGAGTAGTTATCATGATGCCCTGGGCTGAGCGAACGGCATGAATCATGTGCATCTCCAGGATCTGAAGGCAACCTGGCTCAATGTTTCTCCCACCAGGGGACACCAGGAATTAGGACCATGTACATACATATGTATCATACCTAGTAGACTACTGGCGCCAATTTTTTATACAAGTATTCAGACTCACCAAATTTGTTTTCCTCCTCCAGGAGCCCCGCCAATACACTTTTTTAATTACTAGTCGCCGTGGACGGAGTGCAGCGTGTGCCAAATGCCTGCTCTCGCGACCACATGTCATTTCTGATGAGAGATCAGCGATCCTCGGTGCCTCAAGAAAAAGGCCGCCGTTGGTGGTGTTGCCTTGACGGAGCACCCCTTGCTGCATACCAGGGCTGCTGTTGTGTCTCGGCAAAAACAGGAGAGCGCCACAGCCAGCCCAACGTAAGGAGTTAAAGTAGTAGTACGGAGTATACGTACCTGGGTATGTTGTATGTTCATACTAGTATTTGCAGAACTCTTGTTTGTCGTGAAACGCCTGCATTTCTCGTTGGCGTCCGTGTACCTCTTCCAAGATGTCACCACACATGCATTATGAGGCTAGTGCAGGCTGCATAGCATGCTGATGATAAACCCGCCAGACGCAGACATGCTCCCGCAACGCTTCGGGAAATGGCACTCTGGCAGATTACCATCCACAGAGCGTCCTGTTTTGCTGACCGCGTAATCAGACAACACATGTTGAGAAACAACCATCTGGCCCACAAGCTTTGGGGGCAGCTTTGGACTCGACGTGACTCTGTAAACGGAGATCGAGGCACATATTGTTGCCCGCTTGGACAGAAATACACGAGTTTTCGCCCAGAAACTAAGTGCATAATATGGACAAGGCCCGTTTACTTCGGGTGTCACCAGCGTATTGAGGGACAGATACCACGACGTCTCGAATTCCATTCACCTCTCGTAAGAGACACCACGATATTCCGGGTTATTGGTTCAGGTGATACCGATCGGCGGCGATATTAGTCGAGTTTGTTTATGCCAGCGTGTCTTTTCTGCCTGTCTTCCTATCAGATAATGGAAACACCGTCATGAGGTATCGTACAATGCAATACACGTAGCCATAACCGACCTCCATGATGACCGAGAAAGGACGTCACTGGTATCGCAAAACTTGTAATCTTCCAACAGATTCACAAGACAGCAAAGAGCTGGTGCACGTAGTTTTTTTTAAAGACAATCAGCACAGCGCGAGCAGGCGAATTCTGTGTTCATCCCGTTTGCGATCGAGTGGTTACAAGTCCTGACTTAAGTAACACGATGTTCTAACCGTACTCCAAGACCATTTCTGCCAAAGAGTGCGTGGGAGAAATATATCGAACTGTGGCTCGTCTGAATTGGTGACAATAAGCCCCGATAGATCTCATTTGCCTTTCGACGAAAAAGAAAAAAAGAAAAAAAAAAAAGCAAAGCCGGCGAGTTACCGGTATCGTCGTGGTACGACCAAGGTATTGTGTTTGATCGGCGTGTTTTTCAGCAGGACGGTAGTACGATTGTTTTGAGAACCAACAACCATGTACAACTTGAATTCTCCCGTCGGTATAATGCAATCCCTGTATGTAGGGAATGAAGGAAGCGTTCTTTAACTTCTGTAACCTGATGGGGCTTACGTACATGCCAAGTATCAATATTGACCTCCGTTGGAAAGACGATCTTACCCTTGGGTGAGACAGTGTCGCCTCACTGTAGTTGGCCATTGTGTAGTAGGTAACCTGCTAGAGAGAGAGTTTTATAAAGGAGAGCCCGTGAAAACATCACTATTGTGAGCCTTATGCTATCCTGGCCGATTCCGCATCATCAGGCTTGTGAATAGTACCCGTTTTGACTGAGACCTTGAGCATCGGCCAACAGTGTCGCGTCATCCTCAATGAACGAGGGGACAATGTCTAATTGGACATGCTTCTATGTATTACGTATGTACAATCAGACACTGACCCTGCAGCAGCTTTCGTGGCGTTCTACATGTCGTTCTGGGTCTGGGGAATGGCGGTTTCTGTTTGGGTAACCAAAAAGAGTTAATAGGCCCGGCGCCTGAACGGTTGGTGGGTGTGTTGCAGTGGCTTTGAGAGTGACAAAAGCTAATGGATGATGTAGTCTTCGAGTACAATAGCCGATTGGCATAAGTGCATAAAGACAGTGTCTGCATCTTTGTCGGTGGACTCCGTGCTCCGTGACCTTGTGATTGACAAGCATGAGGTAAAAGGAGGGTAGGAGCAGAGCGAAGCTTGGCAATGAAAAGATACTACCGCAGAATGCTCCGTCCTCAGTGGATTGGTATAGCTTACTCCGTGATAAGATTCAGAGAGGGTTTGGTTGTTGTGGTGGCCAGGATTGAC